TAGGGATATTTCACTGGAAAGCCTGTTATATTTTAAATTATGTCCAGGGATCATAAAAATCTACAGGAGAAAAACAATAGGAGCAAAAAAAGAAGAGGAAAAAAAAACAAAAAGGAAAAAAAAGGAGTATATTACTCATAGAATCCCTATAAGGGAGCTTCGTGGCCCTGCTGGAATCTGCTTTGAGATGGTGCCACTAGTAATCCTTGCGGTCAAATAATTGGTATGTTATGCTCTCGAAATACTCTTATGCTGCTCCTGTTTGTGTCTGGAGCAGGGCCGCCATCAGAGGGTGACAACCATGATGGTTGTCACTGGCCCGGCGGTCCTGGCGGACTGCTCCGGCATTCCCGGGCCCCACTTTCCCTCTCTGCACACATAGATAGCGAATATCGCTATCTATGTGTGCAGCCGCGTGCCCCCGGCTCCTTGTTACCGCAGAGGGGGGCCCAGCACACAGCTTCTTCACACGCAGTTCGTTGCCTCCAATAACTCTCGCGAGATCCTCGGCCTTCTGAGCGTTGCCACGGGTTACCATGGCAACCCTCCGTGCGGCGGTAACTGGGAGCGGGGGGCCCCAGCATGCCACCGGACCACCAGGGATGGAATCTCCCCCCTCCCTGGACACAGGTAAGCAGGGAGGTGGGAGAAACATGTAATTTAATATTATATATATTTTTAAAATTAATTTGAAAATGCCCCTCCGCAGATTGCACATTTACACACACTGCATACTCTAACATAACACACACACTGCATACACCAATACAACACACACACTGCATACACTAACACAACACACACTGCATACACTAACACAACACACACTGCATCCACTCCACTGACACACACTGCATACACTAACACAACACACACACTGCATACACTAACACAACACACACTCTTCATCCACTCCACTGACACACACTCTGCATCCACTCTACTGACACACACTCTGCATCCACTAACACAACACACACTGCATCCACTCCACTGACACACACACTGCATCCACTACACTGACACACACTGCATACACTAACACAACACACACACTGCATACACTCCACTGACACACACTCTGCATCCACTCCACTGACACACACACTGCATCCACTCCACTGACACACGCTGCATCCACTAACACAACACACACTGCATCCACTCCACTGACACACACACTGCATACACTACACTGACACACACTCTGCATCCACTACACTGACACACACACTGCATCCACTACACTGACACACACACTGCATACACTAACACAACACACACACTGCATCCACTCCACTGACACACACACCGCATACGCTACACTGACACACACACTGCATCCACTCCACTTACACACACACTGCATCCACTCCACTGACACACACACTGCATCCACTACACTGCATCCACTACACTGACACACACTCTGCATCCACTACACTGACACACACACACTGCATACACTACACTGACACACATACTGCATACACTAACACAACACACATACTGCATCCACTCCACTGACACACACACTGCATCCACTACACTGACACACACTGCATACACTACACTGACACACACACTGCATACACTAGTACAACACACACACTGCATATACTACACTGACACACACAATGCATACACTAGTACAACACACACTGCATACACTACACTGACACACATACACTGCATACACTACACTGACACACACTCTGCATACACTAGTACAACACACACACTGCATACACTACACTGACACACACTCTGCATACACTACACTGACACACACACTGCATACATTACATGGACACACACTGCATGCACTAGTACAACACACACTCTGCATACACTAATACAATGTACACACTCCATACACTAATATGACACACTCTGCATACACTACCCCGACACACACTCTGCATACACTAGTACAACACACTCTGCATACACCAATACAACACACACACTGCATACACCAATACAACACACACACTGCATACACTAACACAACACACACTGCATACACTAACACAAAACACACTGCATCCACTCCACTGACACACACTGCATACACTAACACAACACACACACTGCATACACTAACACAACACACACTCTGCATCCACTAACACAACACACACTGCATCCACTCCACTGACACACACACTGCATCCACTACACTGACACACACTCTGCATCCACTCCACTGACACACACACTGCATCCACTCCACTGACACACGCTGCATCCACTAACACAACACACACTGCATCCACTCCACTGACACACACACTGCATACACTACACTGACACACACTCTGCATCGACTACACTGACACACACTGCATACACTACACTGACACACACACTGCATACACTAACACAACACACACACTGCATACACTAACACAACACACACTCTGCATCCACTAACACAACACACACTGCATCCACTCCACTGACACACACACTGCATCCACTACACTGACACACACTCTGCATCCACTCCACTGACACACACACTGCATCCACTCCACTGACACACGCTGCATCCACTAACACAACACACACTGCATCCACTCCACTGACACACACACTGCATACACTACACTGACACACACTCTGCATCGACTACACTGACACACACTGCATACACTACACTGACACACACACTGCATACACTAACACAACACACACACTGCATCCACTCCACTGACACACACACTGCATCCACTAACACAACACACACTTCATCCACTCCACTGACACACACACTGCATACACTACACTGACACACACTCTGCATCCACTACACTGACACACACACTGCATACACTACACTGACACACATACTGCATACACTAACACAACACACACACTGCATCCACTCCACTGACACACACACTGCATACACTCACACAACACACATACTGCATCCACTCCACTGACACACACACTGCATCCACTACACTGACACACACACACTGCATACACTACACCGACACACACACTGCATACACTAGTACAACACACACACTGCATATACTACACTGACACACACAATGCATACACTAGTACAACACACACTGCATACACTACACTGACACACATACACTGCATACACTACACTGACACACAGTCTGCATACACTAGTACAACACACACTGCATACACTACACTGACACACACTCTGCATACACTACACTGACACACACACTGCATACATTACATGGACACACACTGCATGCACTAGTACAACACACACTCTGCATACACTAATACAATGTACACACTCCATACACTAATATGACACACTCTGCATACACTACCCCGACACACACTCTGCATACACTAGTACAACACACACTCTGCATTCACTACACACTAACACACTCTCTGCATTCACTACACTAACACACACACACTCTGCATTCACTACACATTAACACACACTCTGCATTCACTGCACTAATACACACACTACATTCATTACACTGACACACACTCTGCATTCACTACACTAACATACACTGCATTTGCTACACACTAACACACACGCTGCATTCACTACACTATGCACACACTCTGCATTTACTATACTGACACACACTCTGCATTAACTATACACACAGCATCCACTACACAAACATCCTGTATTCACAGTACACACACTACATCCACCACACATTGAAACACTCTGCATTCACTATACAGAGACACTGCGTCTAATACACACCCTACATCCACTACAGACACTGCATCCACTAAACACATTGCATCTAGGACACACAAACACTACATCCAATACACAAACAAACACTACATCACTGTACACACACTACATCCACTACTCAAACACACTCTGCGTTTACTATACACACTGCATCTGCTACACAAACACACACTCTGCATTCACTGCACAAGCAGTATCTAATACACAGAAACACTACATACATTACACACATTCTAATTCACTTCCACTATACACACCACATTCAGTCCCGCATCATTGTCAGTGGACTAGGTATGGCGTGGGCGGGCCCGGGGGGGTGGGATGGGGGCCCCAGACCTTGTGCTTTGTCAGGGGCCCCAACATTTCTGATGGTCTGGAGAATGTCGGCACCCGTTCTAACTTTTTTCAGGAAGGGGTAAGCCGCCACTTTCTCCTCTGCAAAATTAGTTGGAATCCACTTGTGTTTGTCAGTCTATCGGTCCGTCTCAAAGATCAGTATACCTCAATCACGCCGGAGGTTTGTGGCAGTTTTTGGCCCCTTAGTCCCTGGTCGTCGCTCTTCCCCCCTGACCCTGTAACTTTTCAATACCCTATTAAACCTGTATATGGTGGGCACTGTTATATTCATGAGACATCGCTGAACACAAATATGTGTATTTTATTGCAGTAAAAGCTAACAGTATCATGGTTAACGTTCCATGCAGAACGTAATATTTCTTAATTTTTCAGATTGTATTCATATTAAATTACATTTTATATATAAATATTTGATGTGAAATAAAAGCCCTATATCTCCTGAACAAAATGATATATAATAAGTGTGGTTACACTTAATATGAAATAGGTCAATTAAGATTGAACAGACATATAGCGCAAATTCCAGGTTTAGTTTTGATTAGAACTTCTACGCGTGGCTTCATCCTCAAGGGGTTAAACACTGAAGACTTTTATAATTTATAATGCTTTTAACTATTTATGGTTTTATTTTCCGTGCGCCTGCCTTATCTTACTGTTTGCTTTGAGCCCTGTGTCTCGGTTTATTCACATCTTAACCTGGAACCTGCGAGTCACACAATGTAAATTCTTGAAAAAAAATATTTTAATTTTAAAATATAATTACAAAAAAAAAAGGTATACTGACGCCTAATGAATAGCGTGCTAAACATTACAGCCAGCCAATCATCCCATTATCCCAATATTTCTGTTTAGTATTTAATCTCGAGTGATTACTAGTTTTTCTACTGAAGACCTGTAGGTGGCATCAGGGAGCAAGACGACACTCTAATTTGACTCACCAACCCCTAATCAAATGGCGTTTTTGGCGCACTTGCCATTTATTGAAATGGCGTCCATATGATGTCATATCCTGGGCAGTAATCGCGTGAACGAAAAGGAAATAAGGCACAGACCGCCCCTTTTACTTCCTTTCCTTCCTCTGGCAGCGCGGAGAAAGGTAACGTGTTGGGGCCTTGCTCTCGAAATTCAGCTACCGACCTAGCGTGGGTAAAACAAAGTCTCACCGAAACATGCTGGTCTGTTAACTGATTGTCCGTAGTCTAACTGGTCGGTGCTGCTGGTTTAGACATGTTTAATTTACATGAGGGAGTTTCGGATTAAGCTTCAGGCCTGGTGACTCTCTATGAAGCAGGCTTGTGGGGTGGAATGGGTGGCTGATCTTTGCCGGCATTAATGTTTACTTTGAAGTGTCTGCAAACTTAATATCTCTTAACGCTTTGATCAATCAACTGTGTCTGGACACGTTTTCTTACGTGTAGCTTTATGGGAAAATAGTAAAGCGTTGTGGACGCGTTTATGTGTGTGTTTTAACATGGTGACATTTTGTAAGAAGCGCGAGCGAACATGCAGTTAGTAGCCATCTTCCAAAATTTGGATGAGAGTGAGAAATCCTTTTTAGGTCAGATGTACAATGCACTTGCATTTAAGGGTGAGGAGGGGGTGTACTGGGGAATGGTGTCTCTCAGTATCTCTGGGTCTATAATAAAATGGTATACGAACAATTTAACTCTTATACTCTTTGAGTGTGATATGCATTGTATTTGTGGTTAAAGGGTTGCTGAAAGCATTACATTCACTGCAAGCACCCTGGTGCCATTTCCTGCTAATGGAGAAAAGTTTTACAATGGTGTACCTTGGTATCCATGGGTGCTGAGGGTCCTCTAATTGCCAGTACATATCTGGTATCTGCAAAAGCCAGATGCTGTACTAGTTCTTCATTAGCTGAGAGTGTTAGTTGAATGAATGACACTTTGTGCTTAGAAATATTTTTGAGCTGCCTTATGATACCCTAATGACGCTGCCGGAGAAGTTAAAAAGGATTCAACTATGTAGCGAAACTCTGCAATAATTTACATACTCAAGGCACCATGACGATTTTAAAACCCTAACTGGTCCTTTATTTTGCGTGTCAGACCTTGACAATCAGGGCATGTAAACTAAAGGGACACTGTAGGCACCCAGACCACTTCAGCTCATTGTGTCCCAGTTGTACTTAAAACGTTTACATTGCAGCTCTAAGTCTACCCACAGTAGCTGTCTTCCAGAAAGCAACTAGAGGGCTTCCTGTGTGGAAATGAACATTTTGGTCCGATATGACACTGGACGTCTTCACACTCCGAATGAGGACCTCTAGTGTCAGATTTTTTTTTTTTTTTCCCCATTGGAAAGCATTGAATGATGCATTATTTTTTTTTAATTTATTTTTTTTTATGGGTAAACCTAATGCGAGCGTGGCCATTAGTGCGCATGCCCATTAGGTCTCCCCTGCTGACTGACTGCATGGGCGGAGCCTGCTGAGTGACATTGGTGTTGGATTCAGGTAAGGGACTGAAGGCGATTTAAGGCACTGTAGGGGTCTATAGTACCAGGAAAACTTCTGTTTTCCTGGCACTATAGAATCCCTTTAAATAAACTCTCAAAGAACTATAACTACTACAGCCCACTGTAGTGGTTGTGTAAACACACAAACCCGTGTGTAACTGATCAAATTGTTTGCAAACTGTTGGACTACGTACCTCAAGGGCACCAGTCACTATCTCCAATGAGAGCTGGAAGGTTTTGCAAGAAACGTCCATGAGCTCTTGTGAGCTAAGCACTCTTGTGCAGGACAGCTCATTGGCAGTGTCTTGTCTGCTGTTTGCAGATGAGCTAATCTCTGCATTGCTTGGCTTTGCTCAATGCAGAGAGCTTTAGGCTTTCCTGGAGGTGGTGGCTGGTGCACCAGATAAGTAGTCAAAAAGTTGGCAGTTTTTTTTTTTACCATCAGAAATTGTCGTGTTATGTTATAAATCTATGCATAATCTCAATGACCAAATATACCTAAAACGTTGGCAAACAGTTTGACTGTTAACATTGAGGTTGCCAGAGCACTCCTGGCACAATAACCACTACATAATTTTGTAGTGCTTATGGTGCTTTGTGTTCCTTTTAAAGAACACTAGCATTAGGAATACAAACCTGTCCCTAACTGTGTATAGGTTACCCCCCTTTTTCAATACACTTTTTTTTTTTTTTTTTTAATAGCTACTCTCTCACTTTCCTTGGCACTGCTCACTTTTCATTGCTTCCTCCAGCAATGGTCCTATTCAAAGCTCATCATAGAGGAGCATTGGTGATCTGATGCTACACATTCAGTGCCTAATAGGGAAACTTTGAATCCTGTGCTTTCACATGTAACTGTTTCTGTTAGTGCAGCCAAAACACCTCTAGTGGCAGTCAGTAAGAAAGCCACTAGAAGTGAATTTAACCCTGCAATGTAAATATTGCAGTTTCTGAAAAGAAGAAAAATATGCAATGTTTTACATTGCAGGCTTAAAATGGCAGAACATCTGCACTCAGGTTACTTTAATAGTCTTTTATAGCAATTTTGTTGCATCTAAAAGTATTAAGACATAAAGACCAGCATGTAAGGTTTCTTATCTGGAAGGAGTGTTACAATTTCAGGCTTGTTGTGTCCCTTTTAAAGGAGTAGTCTGCAAGATGTTAGTGAATAATTGTTTTGAAGTTGATCGAAATTTAGCGTTAATAGTTGCAAAGAATGGTGAACTCCGTAAATTTAGGTTTTCAGAATATTAAATTGCTATGAGAAATCGTAACCCTGAACCTTCTGTTACATTACTACACAATTTCTTCTCCTAACATGTAACTTTACAATAAAATTTTAACTTTTTTTTTTTAACTTATTTTAGTGTCCCAAAATGTCTGCTCACTTGCAATGGATGGTTATTCGAAACTCCTCAAGTTTCCTTATCAAGAGGAATAATCAAGTTTATAGCACGGTAAGCAGATGCAATATCTTCATTTAAAAACGGAATAGTGATATTCAATAAACAAATGTATATTCCTGGCACTATATAGGTCTTCATAACGGTTTACACACCTCTTATACTTCAGGTTAAAAAGGTGATTCACTCCCTTTTCTTAGTGCTGTGTGGGCCTGGTTGTGGATAATCCTGCCCCCTTGGCTTGGATCGTCACTCTTGATGATCTTCGCTAATCTAATGCTTTCCTATTGGTGGCAAAACGCTGCACCGTTCAACATCTACTCAGCGATGCAGTGACTCAGTGCATCTCTATGGGGAAAATTCAGTGTCTGTTTATAGCCTGGCAACGCTGAACGCCAGTGGATATGCAGCACAAGAAGCACCTCTAGTGACTGCCACTGGGGTGTCCCTAGCCAGTAATGTACACATTCTATGAAAATGCCTGTATGGTCAGGCTGTACTTGTTCTGGTGATGATAGTGTCACTTTAAGCTTCATGTGGAGTGTTCTAGAATTGCTATAACTTTAGTTCAGAGCTGCATTAACATGTTGCTGGCTTAAGTGCCCAAACATTGCTTACACAATTCTGAGTTGTCTTAAAAACTGTTTTTGTGAGGCAAATGTTTTGTTTAGCAAAATACTACTTATTTGAAAAGTGCTTTCTGCTGGAAATTGTTGCAGTCTAATTCATAACCCATTTTTCCATGTATTCACTAGCAATTTGGCTGTTGTGTCTATGAATTAATAACTAAACATTTCTCACAATTTTAATCTTTTCTTGAAGGGTTTCTCCAATCTATATCAATATAGCTCTGTGTTGAATGCTGCACATCACTCCCATCACCATGACTACTTTAAAAAGCAGAAATGGTCAAGGGGATTGAAGTAACCCTTTAAATTACTGTCATCCTGCTTCTGATCTATATTTGTTGTTCATTGCTACTTCTGTTTCTTTTTTCATCTGTACCCATCTCTCTACATGTGTTAGATTCTCTTTCTAGCCATCCTCTTTGTCTATGAAACACTGTCTACATTTTGAATTGAAATTTCAGTCAGCGTGGCTAAAAGATGTTTGTTCAGAGTTGGATTAAAGGGACACTATAGGCACTAAAACAACTTTAGCTTAATGAAGCAGTTTTTGGTGTATAGATAATGCCTTTGCAGTCTCGCTGGTCAAAACTATGCCATTTGTTTACAGAGCAGGTGATACAAACTTCTAAAGCAAGTTAACACCTGATTTAAATTAACCATTCTTTTCATGCAAGCTGTGTCTCACAGCAATGGGAGGCGTGGCTAAGGCTGCATGGCCAGAAACACGTGATTTAAAACAAATGGTGGAATATTGAGCAGAGAGGCTGCAGGGGCATTATCTACATGACCAAACTGCTAAAGTTATTTTTATGCCAATAGTATCACTTTAAATTTGCCTTTCGTACACACTAAGTGTGCTGCTTCTTGCCTTGAGTGATTCCTAATGGGAGACTGGTAAGTGATAGATATCTAGGGCATCTCCTTGCCGTAGAGTTCTTGTTGGATCTCCCATAGACCACCCATTTTGGACTCTAGTGATTTCTCTACTTATTAAAAAATCTTTACCTTTGCATTCATCCCTGTGCTAAGGGCATTTGGATTAAAATATTTTTATGTTGTAAATCAAACACCTGCACCTAATTTTGGTAAGTTTCATTGACAAATTTTTTGTTCTGTGCCACTAGGAACCGAACAACCTTAAGGCTCGGAACTCATTCAGGTACAATGGCCTAATCCACAGGAAAACTGTTGGTGTAGAACCTGCTGCTGATGGAAAGGGAGTAGTTGTCATTCTGAAAAAGCGTGCAGGTAATGTGTGTTTTATTTTTTACATTTTGTCTTCACCCTTCTGACCACACATTAAAACCCTACACTGCAAGACAACTAGCCTCTCCTATTTGCTGTGATTGATCATTGATGTTTGGGGACCTGTTACTGTTGTAGTGGGATCTCATAACTGCACCTACCCTGTTATAGATCCAGATATTCTAAACTGCTGCTTTTTAAATGATCCTCCATGCCTAGGTCTCTACCTACAGCTCTTGATGTAAACTCTTGCCCACTCATCTGTCTGACCACTTCTTTGATTCTACTCACCACAATTCATCTTTTCCTCTTCTTTCTCATGGTGCTTTACTTTTAATTTTTTAAAGGAAAACTAGAGGGTCAGGAACATGAACATGTAGTCCTCCTCATCCTATAGTGTTAAAACAACGATCTGCCCCTTAACCCCTGAAATATAGTAAAATATTTCCTTTATTCCCGTTTGCTGGTGCTGACTCTGCCTCCTTGGCTGTTAGGAAAAAGCATTAGATTGCCTGAGATTGTCAATTCTGACGATCTAATCCAATGATGTGTGGGGGCGGGCGCTAAACACCCCTTTACCAATCAGCATCTTCTCATCAAGATGCATCAAATCAATGCATCTATTTGAGAAAAGTTCAGTGTTTGCATGCAGTGGATGGTGACACTGTGCAGCACTGCCCCAGGAAGCACCTCCAATGGCTGTCTGAGTAGTGGCCACTTGAGGTAGCTTGTGTAGATAGTTGCATTTTTCAATTTGTGCATCCCAACTTTTTGAGACCATTTTTCTTTTTGCACTTACTGACACTTTAATCTTTTGTTACCCCCATTTGGAAATTTATGAATTGTTTTTTCTAATTCATCACACTGGCTTCTCTTCCGCTCTCCAATGCTGACAGATTGAAAGGGAAGAGCTTGTTATAATAGGCAGCCATGATGGATATGCCCCGTTGCAGGTTAAACCTAAATATTTTGAATATTTCCATTTTTAACTTTGTGTTTTAAGTATACACAAACCTATTTTTACAAAATTAGATTAAGTGGAAGCTAATATGGATCCAAAAATGAATCTTAGGGCAGTGAAGGGGTTAACCCTAGTTGAGGAATACGGATAAAAAAGAAACACTGTTCTATATTTAGATAGATTAAAGGAGCACTATAGGGTCAGGAACACAAACTTGTATTCCTGACCCTTTAGGGTTAAAACCGCTATCTGGGCCCTCATGCCTCCATAAATATAGCAAAATCTTACTGTATTCAAGCCTGAAGCTGTAGCTCTGCATGCTGCTTGCCTCAGAAAAACAAGCAGTCTGCTGACATCAGGAGTGGTAGCCTGATCCAATCACAATGCTTCTCCATAGGATTGTCTGAGATTGACAAGGAGGCAGAGCCAGCACAATTCAAACACAGCTCTGGCCAATCGGCATCTCCTCATAGAGATGAATTGAATCAATTAAATTAATTGAATCAATGAATCTCTGAGGAAAGTTCAGGGTCTGCAAGCAGAGGGAGGAGATACTGAATGTTTGAATGCATTTTAGGCAGCCATGACCCAGGAAGGATCCCTAACAGCCATCTGAGGAGTTGTCAGTGAAGTGATCAGTAGGCTGTAATGTAAACACTGCATTTTATCTGAAAAGACTGTATTTACTGCAAAAAGCCTGAAGGTAATGATTCTACTCACCAGAACAAATTCAACTAGAAAAGCTACAATTTCTGGTGAAATTGTGTGAAGTGTTCTTGCCTCCACCAGTAGTCTACAACTGGAGTGGGCGGAGTAACTGTTATCATTTATATAGCACATTTAATTGCAACGTTGTTGCACAGTTACATTAAACCATACATTTATAAAAACATTAGCAGGTGTTCAAAAGGCCCTGTCTATGACATCACTTGCTGCTGCAGCCTGGCACAGGTCAGAGTATTTTGGCAGTTGCCATCTAAAAACAGTCGTATTTTAAAAACTATCAATCCTACAGCGAAGAGCTTTATATTGTGAGAATCACAAGACCCAGACCTACATTTAGATGCATAGTATGTCTCTGAAGTATTAAAAATGAAGGCACAGTCGCAGTTTAGTAATTGCACTTCAAATTTGAGCTTTGTAAAGTGAAGTTTCAATGAATGTCAATGGACGGCGTGAGTTGCAAACAAATGATTATATTGTGAAAACTATCAGGACTATGGCTTAGCCGTTGACTTGTTTAGTGGCAGCAGGGATAGCTGAACGTTTTGTTATAAGATTTGTGTAGGTGGGCCTGAAAATAAGGGAGTGGTGGCAGTTTAGAAATCATGTCCTGATTTTTCAGCTTTTGCCAGCTCCCACTCTAGCTTTACCATTCATTCCTATGGGACAAATTTCGCCACAAGAACGACGATATTCCGTGAACCATTCGGCGAAACGTTCCACAAAGTAATAGCAATCTGATCGGGAACAATCTGCACGTTTTGGTAAATTTTTGTCTATGTAGTGTAAAAACTGTGGGAGGAGTTAGGGTGGCAAATTTTGCTATAATATTATTAATATTATTAATAATAATAATAATAATATTAATAATAATAATGATAATGATAATAATGATGATAATGATAATAATGATGATAATGATAATGATGATAATAATGATGATAATGATGATGATAATGATAATAATATATATGTGAGAACATTAAGTGGTCTTGCTATGCAAGAACACTTAATAATATATATATGTGAGATAACATTAAGTGGTCTTGCTATGCAAGAACACTTAATAATGAGATAACATTAAGTGGTCTTGCTATGCAAGAACACTTAATAATGAGATAACATTAAGTGGTCTTGCTATGCAAGAACACTTAATAATGAGATAACATTAAGTGGTCTTGCTATGCAAGAACACTTAATAAGCTGTAGTTGTTCTGGTGACTAGTGTCCCTTTAATCTTAAAACATAACTGTTTTAATAATGAAATATATATAAAAGTAGAAAGCTAAATTTTAAAATGAAAGTTATTTAAATAAACCTAAATATTCTCCCTTTCCCCCTCCCCTCTTTGGGATGGGGAAATATTTTGAGAGAATCACTTTATAGTGAATTTGCTATTTCACATTGCATGCAGTTTTGACAACTGTTTAGGTGATATGCATTCACTGCTTGGCATATCTCTTGGATCTTAGTACTTTGTAACAGTTGCAAAAGAACCTTTCAGTTCAATTTGTATTTATGCTCTTCATGGTGTTATTAGCATCGCTATACTTTCTTGCAACATTATTCAGTTACATAGTCTAGTTCTAATCTGAAGATCCTGTATTTATGCTCTCCCTCGGATATATTCACAGTAAATTAAAGTTTCGTGTTGTAGATGGATCTTCAGATTAGAACTAGACTATGTAACTGAATAATGTTGCAAGAAAGTATAGCGATGCTAATAACACCATGAAGAGCATAAATACAAATTGTCTGAACTGAAAGGTTCTTTTGCAACTGTTACAAAGTACTAAGATCCAAGAGATAAGCCTAGCAGTGAATGCATATCACCTAAACAGTTATAACGGAGTTGTCAAAACTGCATGCAATGTGAAATACCAAATTCACTATAAAGAAATTTTTCTCAAGATATTCTCCCATCCCAAAGGTCTGCTAAAAACTCCAATCTTTTTACAAAATTGAAAAGATGGAGATTTGGATAACTGTTATTGATAGTATGCGTTGAAATATGATTGAAAATTATCTAATAGATATGCTTCTATTCATCTGTGCCTTCGAGGGCAACTATACATTTCTAAACTAGCTCCCTAACGAAAAAAAACCCTGCAAGAAGCAATTGAGAATCCACTAGATTGCATGTATTTCTCGGCAACATATAATCCGCCTTGATTTGCAGTGGGCTAGACAGCCCGAAGCCCCAGCCACCCAAAGTATTTTAAATAAATTAGATAAGTGCGTCTAATAGTAACTGCTAAAGTAGGCAAGGTAAGGAGAATTGCTAGAGAGGCTGAAATGAAAATTATTTCAATAACTTTTCATTTAAACATTTAGCTTTCTATTTTTAGATATTTAATTATTCAAAGTTATGTTTTAAGATTAATATTTATCTAAATATAGGACAGTGTTTTTCTTTTTTGTTTGTACTCACAAACCTTTTTGTTAAATATAGGGGAACAATATCGAAAATGCTGGGACATGACTATTCCATTTTAAAAACCTTAAAATGGTAAACTAGTCTAGGAAAAATATTTTAAACTAAACAAATTTTGGATCATTGGCAAAAAAGTCATCATGGGCTTATGCTGTGTTGGGAATCACTACCCGGTGTCAATAACAAGGCAATTTACTAGGGATCGACCGATATTTTTTTTTGTTTGTTTTTTTTTGTCTGTGTTTTTTTTGTTTGTTTTTTTTGTTTTTTAGAGCCGATATCAGTCTGTGAACTTTCAGGCCGATAACTTGCCAATATTCTGTACGTTTACCATTTTGAAAAAATAAACAATTTCTAAAGGTAAATGCACAAAATATACATGCCACATGTAGTGGACACAGTGTGTTTAGACAGGGGAGCTGTGTGTTTGTCTAGTGGGTGCACTGTGTATGCGAGGCTCTGAAGGGATGTAATTTGTGTCCATTTAAATGTAGTACTCATTTGGCAAAAGACAAAACAAAGCTTTGCTGAGAATGCTAGCAAATGTTTACCCTGCCTGGAATCTGATTGAAACTATGCTGCTCTTATCTCTTTGAATTTTCAGAAAATCATCTCTGCACTTGTTACCAATTTTATTCTTAATATTTATTTGATTTAATATTTTTTTTGTTCCCACCTCCCTGCTTGTTACCTGGCCAGTGAGGGGGAATATGGCATTCCCTGGTGGTCCAGTGGCATGGATGTGCAGTGGGGGGGCCGGCAGCAAGCTGTTACTTGCCTTTCCAGCAGCTCACTTCATCTCTCTTCGTAAATCTCGCGGCCTGCGTGCTGCGCGCAGCGTTGCTATGGTAACCCGCAGGACTCGTGAGATTTGACATGGGAGCTGAAGGAGCTGCTGGGAGGGTAGTAATGAGCCCAGGGATCCTGGGAGGTATTATCGGCAATATCTGTATCTATATTGGCCGATGCCGATATTGCCGAAAATACAGAATATCGGTCGATTCCTACAATTTACTCCTCTGATCATGTAACCTCAACTGCTGTCTATTACTTGCTGCCCAATTCTAAACTTTTCCTGCAACTGTCATTCACCAAGCCTTATTCTTCTTACAACTTCCAAGCCACGCAGAAATATATAATGAAGCCCTTGATTAATAAGCATGTCATTAAGATCTAAACATTTGTGCATTAAATTTTGAGTGCCAAGATTTTACTGCACAAATCTGCTGTATGACTTGTGCACTTAATATACATTTAGATACCATCAGATCTTATTTTTAAATTTGCTGACTGCAGCAATAAACTATTTTAAAATTGCAATAAACAAAAAGTAATCTGTAATGGAACGCTTTTTATTTTGGTAACAATGATTAACTTTTTGTAGGTCAACGCAAACCTGCTACATCCTATGAAAAAATAACCATCAACAAGAACTCCCGCGCTACTTTAAGCAGCTTGCGCCACATTATCCGCAAGAATAACTACAGGAAGGACCTCCGCATGGTGAGTGAGAAAATGCATATTATCCTTAACACTCCAAAGAAGAAAAATCTTTCAATGCATCACTCTCTTTTTACTATTTTAAGGAGGATGCTCTGTCAAGAAAATATAAAGTTATTGCCTTAAGAAAACACTCTAAATACCATAACCATTCAAGCCACTCCCTGCCTCCGCCACAGCTACAGGAGAGCTGAAGCTCCTGTTTAAGTACTGTATTTTCTGGCGTATAAGATGACTTTTTAACCCTGGAAAATCTTCTCCAAAGTCGGGCATCGTCTTATACGCCAGGTATAGGCCCTGCGCCCCCATCGCCTGCCTTTCTAATGCTGCAGCCGCCTGAGCGCTCCATAGAGAGCGCTCAGACGGCTGCCGCACTGCCTCTCTTCTCACCTCCCCTTCCCTGTGCAGAGTGGGTGGCCGAGCTCCCCTTCGTCCTGTCAGTCCGGCCGGGTACCGCTTTTTTTTATATTTTTTTTTTGTTTTGTTTTTCAAATCAGTCATCCCTTGCTGATTCCGTGACATTTTTTATTTTGTTTGTTTTGACTTCTGGTACATTTAATGGTCACTCTAAGAATCGGCTTTGCATCATTACAATGTTATGATAATAGAATAATAGTATGAGTAGTACCCTGTTATCACAGAATGCTGTATTCCTGCAGCATATACACTCACTAGTTAGAAACCTGCTCTTCGATTACCACATCTCAAGGTGTTCTACATATAGATCAGGCTTCCCCAAACTCAGGCCCACCAGATGTTGCTGAACTACAACTCCCATGATTCTATGAATGAAATAGGCTGAGAATCATAAACTTGGTGTAACCTCATATTCAGCGGTCTTGGCAGTGCGAAATGGGATTTAAACTACATAGCACATTAAGATTGTAAACTTGTTTGAGCAGGGCCCTTTTCACCTCTTGTCTGAGATATTTGACAAGTCATTTACCTACAGAATATAACAATGTTATAATTTTAAAGCACTGGAATGTGCTATCACTATGTATATAACAATAACAGAACTTATTTTGTCAATAGCTTATAAAATTGTGGTTACATTAGAAATCAGCACATTTTGTACTGGATGCTAGAGCTCGCTGGGATACAGTGTGCCTTAATTATCACCTTGTAGGAAGCCACTGAAAGTCTGTTGGGCTGAGAGGGCAGGCTTGAAAAGTTGCATTAAGCAGGTCTGGAGTCTTGTTCAATTCTCCCTACCAATATTTACCACCAAAGAAAAGTGCAGAAAAAAAGTACATCTACTAGTGAAGTCAGTGGAGTGTTTCTTTAATCTTGGCTATCTGCACAAATATGAACTTTGTTATTGAAATGCTTACTTTTTCTAAGATCTCATGCTTTATTCTCGTGGGGGGGGTCATTCCCTGTCTATGTAAGCAAACTACATAACCTGCATTCATTTCATGTCAGCAAGGTTTAAAGGGTTATGTGTTATCCCTCGGTAGGCTAACCTCATTACAGCAGCCTTGGCAAAAGCCTGTTGAGAAATGCACAGGGAGTGACTGACTGAATTTTTAGCATTGTGAGGATTAAAGGGACAGTAAGCACCCAAGACAACCTTATCTCATTTTTTGGGCTGGTGATGCAGGGGCAGAAGAACCCTGTAGTTTGGAATGCATTGTATTTCAAACCCTAAAGTGTATCCCTTTAAATGGGTTGGGCACATACATTTAAAGGGACCCTATAGTCACCAGAACTACAGCTTAATGCAGTTTTTCTGGTGAGTATATTAGCTCCCTTCAGGCATGTTCATGTAAACACTGCCTTTTCAGAGAAAAGGCAGTGTTTACATTGCCCCTAGGGACACCTCCAAGTGGACACTCCTCAGAGGGCCTCTGGACAGCTTCCAGGCTCGGGGCTGCATAGTAGGCAGCCCTGCCGTTCAGCGTCCCCCACACTCTGCATGGGGACGCTGAATTTTCCTCAGGCGAATTGATTTAATGCATCTCTATGAGGAGGTGCTGATTGGCCAAAACGGTGTTTGGTCCTGCTCCCTTGCTGTTTTTAGCCACTCCAATGCTTTCCCCATGGGAAAGCATTAGATTGGTTAAAAATCAGCAATTTGATGTCACCAAGGGGGGTGTGGCCAGCGCCGGCAGACCCGTGATGAGCTGAAAATAAGTTGTTTTAACCCATTCTGAGGTGGCTACGGGCAGGGAAAGCCACCTAACTGGTGGGTTTTCACTATAGGGTCAGGAATACATGTTTGTGTTCCTGACCCTATAGTGATCCTTTAACTCACTGCAGCAAACTTAGAACTATGAAGATCTGACTGAGACCAGTAGTTATTGGAAGTCTGTGCAGGGAGAGAAACTAATTTGTGTCTAGATCTGCATATAGTTGCCAGAACAACTACATCTTTAGAGTAGTTTTGGTGTGTTTAGTATGTCTCTGCAAGCCTTTTGTTTGGAGAAAAGGAAGTGTTTACATTATTACCTAGTAATCTCTCTGCAGTGTGCAACACTGACATTCAGCGTCTCCACGACGTTAGGTGTCAAGTTCAGTTTAAGGGGGGAAAAAATAGAGATCTCTATACACATCACTCAGCAGATTAATCTTGCCAACACAAGGTGGCAGTCTGTGTTATAAAATTACTGACCACAATGCTACTGTAAAGATAATCTATATTTTAATTGTAAGGTCAAATTGTTTCTTCTTGGGGTTTTTTTTTTTTTGAGTGCTTGTTAAGGTAGTAGTTGGGAGCTTGGATCTGTGGAATAAACCAAAAAAATTTTTTAATACATGTGATTACCATTGTAAACTTTTTATCATGTAATGATCTGATGCAAAATAAAGTTCCACCTTTTTTCATTCCTCTAGGCTGCTCTCAGACGTGCAAGTGCTATCCTAAAAAGTCAGAAACCTGTTGTGGTGAAAAAGAAGCGCACCCGAACTGCCAAGACTGCATAATTTGTTCTGCAGAATGCATAATAAAAATGATTCTACAAACCTGAACATGGGAGTGTTTTTTTTTTTTTTTGTTTTTTTTTCTTCCTTTGTGGTTTATAGTCTTTGTGCCAGTAATTTCTTACTTTTAAATTTGTGATGCTATAAAGGAATAAGTTCTGCAGTATTGTCTACTTATTTTGGTACAATCTGTTACTCTGGAGGTCACTGCTTATTAAAGACAAGCCGCTTAGTGTTTTGTGTTACTCCTGCTTAGTGAGATTGTCTGTTGGCTAACTGGATTTCCAAAGCAAGATTAATGCTTGGAGTCTTTTTTTTTTTTTTTTTTTATATTCTTTTCCGAGCCAATTTAAATTATAGAAGATTAGTGCAGTTAACACCAATTGTTTATTGAGCGCTCAGAATTTTAAAAATGCAAAATGATTATTGCTTTGGTCAATGGAATCTCAAACACTTGCACATGTAAATGTATCATGTTCCTTGTGGGTGCACCTGCTCAATTGAAGAGAAAGTATGTCATGGCATCCTTCAGTAGAATTATTCCAATTTAGTTTTCTTAGAAAAATTTGCCAAATCATCAAGAACTCATGGACAATATCTATAATTGACATAGTGAGGCTTATGTTTGTATTATATTTTTTTTAATCCCTACAAAATATAACAGAACACAGCTGATACAAGTCATAGTCTCTGTATGGAACCTCCCCATATAGTACAAAACTACACTAGTATTGGTCAGTCTTTGAAATAAGTACTAGGTGCAATTATTTCATAGGGTAAGTCCTTGTTGGTGGCTGTGTAGTCATATAATGAAAGACAAATCAAACTCTTGCCAGAAAATTAATAGAATCCCATAGATTTTGACACTTTTTTTATATCTTTATCCTGTTAGTAAATATCTTTGAGCAATAGGTCTGTAATATAAGCACTGTTTTTTTTTTTTTTTTGTTTTTTAAAACCATAAGAATGCCATCCTTCCCATCCCTTTCTATATATCCTATAAAGAATAAACAGGAAACCACAGGTATTAGATGTAACATGAGAAGGGGATTGGTGGTGGTAATATGATGTAACATGTCCATAGGCCATGGCTCCAGGGGGCACTTTTGCTGATCCTGTCAAAGCATGTTCCTATGCTGCTAATCACATTACACCCTCCCGTAGGGGCTGCTAAAGGGAGGAAGGTGCTCCTTAAATTATTACCTATCTGCCCTCCCGCGTGTCCCCATGCCCAATTGGTAATTGCTCCACTTAGATCGAGGCAGCGCTTTCTGGAGCTTTGCTGACTGTCTGGACTGCCCCTAAGTAGAGTACAAGATGCGCTGCTGGGCGAAAGCAGTAACTACACTGCTCATCTACGGCAAGATGTGAAGAGCAGGGTACTGCGAGGGCTCAGCATCCAGGAGCTGCCAGGTACTTCTAATTGAATGCTTGGAGTTACTCCAGCCCCTACCTGTGTATGTAAGGGAGTGCTGCTTGCTATGCATGTGTTTTACTATGGAGTGTGTGCCCCAGTCCAGGGGGCCCAATATCTGGGTTTCGGGTTACCAGCAGAAGTGCTCAGCTTCCTTCTGGTCACTCCATGTAGTTTGGTTAAGCGGACGGCGCCGCAGTATAGGATCTTTATCCTCTTCCTGGTTTGATAGGCTCAGTGAGGGAACTGAACAGCTTCCTGTCAGTATGGTAGATGAAACAGAAGCTCATCTACAGCAGTCCTCTGCCACATTACATGAAGGCAGATAAGCAGGGGCACAATGGAGGATGAGAAAAGGGCACACAAAATAGCCTAACATAGTGGGTGTGGTTTGGTGAGGGGGCAGCACAATGTATTGGGCCAACCCTGACTGTAGTGTAGATCAGTTATTTTAATAGATTGTGCTATGACACATTGGTGCATCAAGCATCCTCAGTGTGTGCCATGAACATATTGAGTTTTGGTCTGGAATTGGATAAATGCAGTTAAGTATTTTGTGTATAAAGGTTTGCATTAAAATTCTCATCTCACAAGTAGATCTAGCAAGTTGTTTTACCTAGAAATGCTTTCTTCTGTAGTCCAGAATGATTCTAAAAAAATTTGGATGTTTATGAGCATGGGACCCTTTTTGACAGTGTCATGAAAGGGAAGGAGCATAGTAATTTTCACATAAAGCCAGGGTGAATAGCTTTTTTACAATTATGGTGTCAGGAATATGTTTGTGTACCTGATGCTATAGTGTTACTTTAATCAAATTAAAGGAACATTCTGGTCACCATAACTACTTTCAACTAAATGAAAATGCTTTGATGCAAGGAGGCCCCTGGGCGCTCTTTCCTTTAAGGGGTGAAACTACTCTCAAATGGTTTACCCCCAATGGCTTCCTCCAGCTCCAGGTCGCTCAGTGGTATTCAGCTTCTTAAACGGAGTGTCAAGAAGTGCAGATTGACGTCAGGCATGGGTGCAGCTGATTGGCTAGAGTGGTCAGCTGACGCTCTAAGACAATCGCTAGTTCCCGATTTATAAAAATGTTTTGTTTTCATGAATGGGGAGCTACTGATTGGTTAGAGGGTCAGCTGCTACTCTAAGCCAATCAGTGGCACCCCTACCCATCGGCCCTCTGTGTTTCCTGACACTCGGTAAATTAAAGTGAACACATTAACACTGAATTTTTTTATTTTATTTTTTTTAACCTGGGGAGATGAGAAGGTTCAAAGTTTCCCTGCCAGGCTCAGGTACCAAAGCTTTATGATGTGGTATCCAGAATGAAGTGCTCTAATCTCATTTTCTTCTCCTTCATTTGACACAGTCTTCTTTTTCTTCTGAGGCTCCTTCTGCAGAGGCGGCTCTAGACTTTGAGGCCTTAGGCGAAACTCAGACATGAGGCCCCACTAACAAAAAAGTGAAAATACATGTACACTGTCACATATACACATTGATGTGCAGTTTACCTGTGTATGTGCCTGAGAGTTTGTCTGACAGAGTATCATTTTTTTGTGTGTGTGTCTCTGTGAGCATGTTTGTGTTTTTGTCTGGTACCCTAGGTGTATGGGGTAGCTGTTGAAGAGGGGGGTGATGGTGAGAGGGAGGGGGTGATGGTGACGGAGGGGGTAATGCTGCTGAGGGAGGGGGTGATGGGGGTGATGCTGAGGGAGGGGGGTAATGCTGAGGGTGTGAAAGGGGGTGATGCTGAGGGAGGGGGGTGATATTGAGGGGGGTAATGGTGAGGGGGTAATGCTGAGGGGGTGGAGGGTGTAATAGTGCCCCCCACCCCTCACCTCACTTACCTGCTCTGTAGACTGCCTCTGTGCTGCTCCCCTGCGGTTTCAGTCTTGAGCGAGAGGCAGGGATAAGCTGTAGCTTCCTGCCTTTTAACATTCACAGCGGGCCGGCGCCGGTATTGCAGTGTATTCTCACACAAACCAAAAATAGCAGCACAAGCTGAAAAATCCAGGGGGGGGGGGGGCGCAAGTGCCCCCTCTTGCCCCCCTGCAGATGCCCATGTTTATGAGCTACTGCTGAAGTTCCTAAAAAACAAAACACCTTCTTGTTATGTGTTCCTTAGTTCAAAAGGGTCAGAAACCACAGGATTACAAAGATTAAAGTAGTTGTGTCACCATCTGGGGTTTTTGTAGAGTATGCAAAGAGCCCCAATGGTGACATCCCAGCTGGGTGTCTGGTGGAGGAGTCATATACGGGTGCTGTCATTTTTCTGTTTGATCATCATCTGCCAGGTGCAGATGGCAGTACTGTAGTACTCTTGTGTATGCACAACAGTTAAGTCTATGGAGTCTTCTGTGAAACTGCAAGATCCTCTGTAGGGAGAGTTTTATTTATATATACAGGGTAGGGAAATCGCGCTAAAAAAACCAAAACTATAAAGATAGTATGTAAGAGGCAGCAAACCTGAAGTAGGGCTCCCTCTAAGCCCTACTGACCAATAGAGCAGATACAATACAAAGAGAAAGGTTACACCAGGTAACAAACTTTGTAAATAGATACTAGAAAACGATTGCAAATATATATATATATAACGAGTGCACAACAGTAATGATAATCAAATATCCCAATAAAAGCAGAAAGAAAGAAACAGTCTGTGAAGAAGAATGTTTTTAAGAGGAGCCGGATGGGGATAACTTTTAGGAATCAGTGTGTGGAAACAGAAAAAGGATAATAGTGCAAGAAGTCCTATAAAAATCATATAAAAATATAGGGTCTGATGTGGTCCTACTCACGAGTAATCAAACTTAAAACCAGCTCTAGTATGAATGGCGTACAGCGGTACAATCCCCACTTAAAGGATACGTTGTAAATATCACGGCACTGTGTAGACCATAAAAGAAGACAACAAATAGTGCTCACTGCATAAAAGAATTAGAGAAAATTTATTGATACTTACCGTAATTTTCTTTTCCTGGCTATTATTCATGGCAGCATTTAACATATGGGTTTAGCTCCTCCCTCTAACCATCAGGACAGGAAACACAATCAATTAAACAATTAAGCCTACCTTCCCCTAGTATATTAGGTACCCCAGTATCCTCCACACCTCAGTCCAGTAACAAGACAAATAAACCAAGAGAGGGTGGGAGACCAAATGCTGCCATGAATAATAGCCAGGAAAAGAAAATTATGGTACATCCCTGCAGAACCAGAGGCAAATTCCAAGGAGCAGAGAATACCTTGATAGGAGGTCTAATCCTAATGACTGCTTTGAAGAAACGAATTACAATAGGATTCAATGCCCAACGAACACCGGAAAGAGCTGAAAGAGCCAAGCAGTGCACTTTAAGCGTGTTAAATTGAAGGCCCCTCTCCCGGCCTGCTTGCAGGAAACCCAAAACCTGAGACATGGAAGGGGAACCTAAATCTTGAACCGTGGAATTACACCATCGAGCAAAGGCTTCCCATACCTTATGGTAAGTAGAAGGATTCCTGGAACGTAACAGGGTAGAGATAACCTGGTCCGAAAGGCCATGTTCAACTAGAGACTTCCTCTCAATAGCCATGCATGGAGCCTGAATTTGTGAGGCACCAGATGAAACACTGGACCCTGAATCAGCAGGTCTTCCGAGACTGGAAGTTCCCAAGGCAGGTCCATTGATAACCTCTGTAACAGGGGAAACCAAGGGCGACGAGGCCAGAAGGGAAGTAAAGCTATCACCTTGCAACGTTCCTTGGAGATCATTCTCAGAACAGCTTGGATGAGGGGAATTGGAGGAAAGACGTAAGCCAGATCGAAAACCCAATTGATGGATAGAGCATCCTGAGCAACTGCCTTTGGATGGTATCTCCTCAACACAAAGCATGGAACCTGCGCATTCCGAATGGTCGCCATGAGGTCTACTTGGGGAAGACCCCACTTCTGGACCAACTGAGAGAAGATCCTCCTGGAAAGTTGCCATTCTGAAGCCTCTATCCGATGTCTGCTGAGGAAATCCGCTAATATATTCTCCTTCCCTGGGAGATAGATGGCACACAGGCCCTCCACATGATTCTGAGCCCAGGTCATAATGGGAACGATCTCTCTGATCAGGGCTACACTCCTTGTTCCGCCTTGATGGTTTATGTAGGCAGCAGCCGCTTTGTTGTCCACTCTCAACTTGACCCAGCAATGCCTGATGACATGCTGAAAATGAAGAAGAGCCAGAAAGGTTGCTCTTAGCTCCCTGATGTTGGAAGGCAAGCATTGGGTTCTTGGAGGCCATTTTGCTTGAAAAAAATCGATTGCCTAAATGTGTCCCCCAACCTGTCAGACTGGCATCTGTCGTAATGACCACCCAATCTATTTCCCGCAAGGGGAACCCTCGGGAGAGATTTTCCCACGACATCCACCAAAGGAGCTTCTGCTTCAGAACAAAAGGAATGCGAATCAGCGTCTCCCACTCCCTCGAGTCGGTCTTGAAATTTTTCAGAAAAAATTGTTGAAGAGGGCGAAGGTTCCACTGAGCCCACCTGACAAGCTCTATTGTAGAGGAAAGAGTCCCCAGAAGCCTCATAAACTCTCTTGCCGAGGCTAAAGTCATCAGTCTGAAGTCCCTTATCCGATCTCGAAGTATGATCTTTCTGTCGTGTGCGAGGGATACAATTGCCGTGTCTGTATTGAAATTTGCTCCCAGGAATATCAGTTCTCTTGAAGGATGCAAGTGACTCTTCTCGTAATTGATGAGCCAATCGAAATGAGATAGAGTGTCGAGGACTAGTTGTCTGTGTTGGAATATTGATCCTAGGTCCGGGGCCACTACCAGGTAGTGAAACACCGCCACACCTTCTTTTCTGAGCAAAGCAATGGGGCCATACTTATACCAAAAGGAAGGGCCTGAAATTGAAAGTGTTCCTTCCGGACACAAAACCTGAGAAACTTTTGATGGGTGATCGTGATAGGGACATGAAAATATGCATCTATGAGATCTACTGATATCATCCAATCTTGATGATGAACAACCGGAATGATGGAGCGAATGGATTCCATGCGAAATCTTCTGACTCTCAGATAAAGGTTGAGCTGGTGGAGGTCTAAAATAGGTCTCCATTTTCCCTCCGGCTTCTTGACCAAAAACTGGGGAGAATAATATCCCTGGAATCTTTCTCTTATGGGTACAGGTATGATGGCTTCTTCCATAAGAAGATTGTTGACATAAAGACTCAAAACCTCTCGTTTTCGGATGTTGGCTGGAAGCCTTGTGCGGATAAACCTTGGTGGAGGTGGATATTCTTCGAATTCCAGATGATAACCTTTGGTGAT